CTCCTCCCCCTCCACCCCCCTTCCAAATCTCCTCCACCCACTCCCACCCCATCCCCAGGCTACATACTCCCATCCTTCTACACCTCCCTGGAGGACCCCTACGGCTTTGAGATCGAGGACAAGCTCCTCGGGAACATCCACCACCACATCTTCCACTTCAAGGCCGACCTGGACATCATGGGCACCAGCAACCGTTATGAGACCCTGGACATCGTACCAGAGGCCGTGGACATGAGGACGGTCAGTCCAGATTGACCTTTGACCTTTGTAACCTGAGTGTGTCTGAGAGTGACCTTTTCTTTGTACCTCATGTGTCTGAGACTCACCTTGACCTTTGTACCCTGCGTGTATCAGATTGACCGTTGACCTTTGTACATTGTCTTTGTAACCCGTGTGTCTGAGATAGACCTTGACCTGTGTGTCCCATGTGTCTGGGACCGACCATTGTCTTTATACCCCGTGTATCTGAGACTGACTTTAACCTTTGACCACCATGTGTCTGAAACTGACCTTTACCTTTTTACCCCGTGTGTCTGAGATTGACATTGACCTCTGTACCTTATGTGTCTGAGAGTGACTTTAACCTTTGTGCACGATATGTCTGAGGTTATCCTTTGTACTTTATGTGTCTAGGATTGACCTTTTTACCTCGTGTGTCTGAGGTTGATTTTGTTTTTGCACCTCATGTGTCCGAGATTGACCTTGACCTTTGTACCTCATGTGTCTGAGATAGGCCTTGACCTTTGTACCTATGTGTCTGAGACTGACTTTGACTTTTGTGCATGATATGTCTGAGATTGGCCTTTGTACTCCGTGTGTCTGTGATTGACTTTGACCTCTGTACGCCATGTGTCTGAACTGACCTTGACCTTTGTACCCCATGTGTCTGAGATTGACCTTTGTCTTGTATCCCATGTGTTTGGGATTGACCAGCGAACTATCTTATCACTTCATTAGTGTATGAAAACCTGAAAATCCGCAACTGCACCTCATGCTTCGCGGGAAGTAGCTGAGAATTTTTTGGAGTGCCCTCGGGAGTTCTTTTCTGGGGTAAAAATAGTTGTAAAGAGCAAAGAGCATGCTGTTTAGCGTAGATATTATTATGCAGTTAAACAGTTAGACCGTAGAAATGTGCAGTTAAACAAGCTGTAGAACGAGGATATGTGCTTTTAAACAGGCAGTGGAAAGTGGATGTGTGCAGTTGAACATACTGCAGAACGTGTATATGTGCAGTTAAACAGGCTGTAGAGCGTGGATATGTGCAGTTAAAGAGGCTGTAGAGCGTGGATATGTGCAGTTAAACAGGCTGTAGAGCGTGGATGTGTGCAGTTAAACAGGCTGTAGAGCGTGGATTTGTGCAGTTAAACAGGCTGTAGAGCGTGGATGTATGCAGTTAAACAGACAGTGGAAAATGGATATGTGCAATTAAACAGGCTGTAGAGCGTGTATATGTGCAGTTAAACAGGCTATATAATGTAGAGAAGCTATTAAACAAAAACGTTTGTGGGTGGTTGATGGGGTGGCTTTGGTGTGGTTTGCTCTTTTTTCCCTATCAAACATCTATTGTCCATATCACCCCTCCT